ACCATCCACTGTAAGGTCACGTACATTGGTAAAACAAAACGCCACTTAAAACTAGAGTCTGTGAACATTGAGGAGTATCTAACAGAACCAACCATCCACTGTAAGGTCACGTACATTGGTAAAACAAAACGCCACTTAAAACTAGAGTCTGTGAACAATTGAGGAGTATCTAACAGAACCAACCATCCACTACTTAAACCCAGCCACTCATCCATTCATTCAGGTTCTGAAACCATAGGTCACAATATTTCATTTAACGATTTATCTATCAATACCACAGGATCTTCGGACCTTGATCTCTACATTAAAGAAAGTCTACTCATAGCTAAAGACCGTCCGACCTTTAACGACTCACAAAGCTCTTTAGATCTAAAATTGTTCTAAATTTTCACACTTAACTAAAGATCGTCCGACCCTTAACGACTTCCAAAGCTCTTTAGATCTAAAATTGTTCTAACTTTTCACACTTAACTAAAGATCGCCCGACCCTTAAACACTCTCAAAGCTCTTTAGATCTAAAATTGTTATACATTTTCACACTTAACTCAGCTGTTGTGTAATATATATATAAACATTGTTTCATACGTCCATTTACCGCTTTTCTTAATAACTAACTAAACTAATGATTATGTTATTATATTATAATGTTATAATGTTCAGATTTCGCTGAAGATGTAATAAGTTATTCCGAAACGTTCGAACCTTATAAATAAAATGTTTTATGTTTTATCAACCATTTTCGTCTTCATTATATGTATTTCACTTTCTTTTTTTTAGGCCTCTGCCTTTTAAAAGTGACTCTGAAGAAGGACCCAGGACTTTTTTATTTCAAGAACAAGTTCTTTATTGTTTGGTCAGTATTTTTTCTGGCCATTGGAACATGTATTTTTTTCTTGGTATTAACACAAGCATTGATAAAACAAATTTCTGGAAATGATGTAGCGGGAAAACCCAACTTCTGCCAACAGTGACCATCACTGATTATTGAAAACGATGGTTCCAATCACTTATTGCCATTTGGTTTGATATACCTTTTAGGGTTACGTGTACATACCTTTGTTTGTTAGTTTGTTGTTGTTTTGTTTTTCTACTTATTTGCCTTTCTACAGTCGTTTTCAATTAGAAAACTCGGTGACTCTCTTGACTTAAAATACATTGGCATAGCAGTGTGTCATCAAGGTGAGAAGACGAATCCATATACGTAGTTTACGAAATGAGGCTTAACTGTGTAAACAGAGGTTTTAGCTTATACAGTGGTGTTGTTATTATTTTATCAATAATCGTGGCATATATAACAAACTGAAGGCAACGAAACAGCAATTTTTCAAAGGCTGACAAAAATTATTTAACTCAAAAAATATCGAGGGTCCACGTGGACTTCATGAGCAGTTTTTAAACACCTTTTACGAAAGTATTTCTGCGCCAAATTGCTTGACTTTATTAGTTATAGAGCCTAAGATAACATGAGTCACACAATAAACGTAAGGGAAAATGTCATGAATGTTGATATTAATTTTACTAATTCTTCTTTGGGGGTCGTGTATGTATTTCACGTAGAAAATGAATGATTTCGCCCGATTTGTTTTTGATCAGTTCTCTATAATCTGGGTGTTGTAGCAGAGAAAAACGTACAATTACTGAGTATGTTGAAATGTATAAAAATAACGGTAATTTGAGGTTTAAAAGCGTTTAATCGTTTTTGTTTTTTCTTCTGTACAAATAAATTTTAGCGGGACAAATTTAAGCTTTGTCGGTTATGACCCGTTGAATTAATACTGAGAGTAGTTGATAAATGTTTCGTGACAGCATCAATATAAGCGTAATACAATCTCCCACTAGATACGATTTTGGAAAATATATGTATATTTTCTTATAGCAAAGGTCCCCCAGTGGCACAGCGGTAAGTCTGCGGACTTGCAATGCTAGAATCCGGGTTTCGATATCCGTGGTGAGCAGAGCACAGATAGCCCATTGTGTAGGTTTGTGCTTAATTACAAATAGACAAACAAACTTATAGCAAAGCCACATCGGGCTATCTGCTGTGTCCACCGAGTGGAATCGAACCGCTGGTTCTAGCGTTGTAAATCCGAGGACTTACCCCCGTCCCACAGGGGGACTGGAAAAAATGCCACATCGAACTGTTTAATCTCACTTAACCATTTCATTCAATTCAAATTAGTAATTGAAACTTTGTAATGGTTCTCAATTAAGAATCATTTATTATAATTCCGAAGAACCGATTTTATTTGTTTCGGATATTCGCCTAAATCTACCCGAGAGCTATCTAGGCTAGCCGTTACTAATTTTGGGCTAATAGACTAGAGGGAAACCAGCAACTAATCAACAGCACCAACGACTGTCCGACTCGTTAGCCACTGGACCACACGAGCCTCGTCTAAGAAGTGGTAAAATTATAATTTATTTTTTATTACTTCACATTATTACTTTACATCACTTATCAGTTGGAATTCTTAGAAATATCCTTCCTGCAGACATAATGTATTGAAAGTAAATTGTATTTGCTGCTTTTTAGTTATAAGAAGCTTTTAGTCGATCTGAAGTAGAAGGTTTTCATTTCAAACTGACTTATAGAGTTTTTAATTATACATGGTCTTAAAGGGTTTTTAAGTAGAGCAGGGTGTGGTCCAATGGTTAGCGTGCTGGACTTTGAATCCGAGAGTTCATGGTTTACGTCCAGTTATCTCAAAATCTCGCTTCGCAAATTGGGGCAGTCTATGCGTTGTAAGAGTGACAGTCAAATCTCACTATTCGATTAGAGTAGACCTGGTGGTGGGTGCTGTTATTCTTCCAAAATTGTGACAGAAAATTAAAGATAAACACAAGAAATTTTGGGAAATGTAGTCTGTTGTTTTATTATTTAATTCAGTTTGCTAAATTACACATACAACGCCGTTAAAAAAACGAACTAGCTATTCATTTATTAATTAATACATACAACAGATGGCGCTGATTACCCCTTTTTAAATATTTGGTCGACATTTATGTCATAAACACAAGCTTGTTGCCTCATCCTGTCATTTCTGACATATGTCCTGCTTTCCTTGTTTTACTTCGAAGATCGTTCTTATCCTGTGAAGGTTCTTTGTAAATCCTAACCATTTTTTTGGAAGTTTGTATAGAGACTAGAGGGAAGTCTGACTGGTATTTCATTATGTTACATCAAACATATTCTTATCCATAATCATAGAAGCTGACCTTAAATATATTAACCTTTAACTATGGATCAGAGCAAGATACCTACTTAGATCGAGACCCGGTAGTGAATATAGATAAATATACATAATTTAATTACATTTTTACTTATCAAGTTGTAGAATCCATGGTTTCATCAGATGGGTACCCTCGACTTTACGCTAGCGAGTAAAAGCAAAGAAGAATGTGATATGTAATGATATGTTTACCTAACTACATCTACCATATCCAGTGTTGACGAAGCCTTTCGCTTAATACCATGGCTCTTAATGAAATACCAGTCAGATTAATGAAATACCAGTCAGATGATCTCGGATTATGTTGTTACGCAAGATTTTGAAATAACTCGAATAACAACCGATAACACAGGCCTGCGATGGTTTTATTGTCTTGAAAGTTTTACATGTTCTACTGTAACTCCTGTACGTTGAATCCGAAAATGATATCAATTTTTCTACACCACGTACAGATTTTTCACAAAACGCCATAACGTAATACATAAAAAAAAGACAACAACACGTAGTTTTGAGACTAAAAGACATAGATTTCACACTTATAAAAAAAATCAGGATGAATGAGAATGCATATTCGTTCGACATCAATGTTCTTCCATTTTCTTCAGTTTGTTTGTAGTTTTGTTAACAAACATAATAATAACAAATGTTCATTGTGGTAAACGCAATAATAATTTGATCTAAGTAAGAGTTTTTTTTATTCCCGACTTGTTAAAAATCCTTACATGATAGAAAACAAATTACTATTATTTTCGAAATCTGCGTATCTGAATTATGGAAAATCCGTTATTAAAACCAAGCCAACTTTTATGAAGTTTAAATTCGCAAGGCCTGTGTAATCTCTCGAGACCCGGTGCACACTTATGTTTTGTAAAGTCTTTGAATTGGCCATACAGTATAGTTTTCTTTTCGAATGGAAATAATTATTTAGAGGGGGGAGGGGGGGTATGCGAACTTATCTATGGAAGTTAAGATATTAAGTTAATATATTAAACACGTCCTATTCGGGGCGGCTAAGTTACGACAGACTTTGACTTAGTACCAGTTGCGACGCTATTTATATCAGTATTGTTTGTTTGTTTTGAATTTCGCGCAAAGCTACACGAGGGCTATCTGCGCTAGCCGTCCCTAATTTAACAGTGTAACACTAGAGGGAAGGCAGCTAGTCATCACCACCCACCGCCAACTCTTGGGCTACTCTTTTACCAACGAATAGTGGGATTGACCGTCACATTATAACGCCCCCACGGCTGAAAGGGCGAGCATGTTTGGTGGGATGGGGATGCGAACCCCCGACCCGCAGATTGCGAGTCGAGCGTCCTAACCACCTGGCCATGCCTGGCCCTATATTAGTAAACTGCTTGACAACAGCTGTTGCGGTGAGAACTGAATTAACTTAGTGAAGTAATTTTTATCAACTATATTTAAGCCACCATATATTAGAATTAGAGTAATGATTTTTATAACACTATTATTCATTATTTTTAATCACTATAGATGATCAGTTAATATATTCTTGAATTAACTCTCTTAGCATTAAGATGTTTTTGTCTGTTATTGGAATTTTAAATTTTATTTTTGATGAATAAGTAATAATGCATTCTTGGCTAAGGTAAGAGGGACACAAAGTAATAACCAAAATATGTAAGAAATCAACACCAATAGGTGGCAGCACATAACCTCTACTTTGACTTTCGTTTGTCTAAATATTCAATACGTTCTTTTACGACATATTTAATTAAGTATTGCAATAATCATATAGCGGTAATCTTTTCAGCAATTACTTGTGGTTTTCCTTATATACATTTTTTTTGGTTCACTATCAAACACTTTAACTTTCATTCAAACAACAAATTGCTCCAAGTTTGTAAAACAATTGAAAAGGAAAATATTTGATTATATTTTTAACATAAAATCTATAATTAGATTAAAGCATATCTAACATATTTATTGATTTAGGCATAGAATAAAATGTAACCTAACATATTCTAAGAAATGTTTAAAGAATGGTAGATAATTTATACTACAACATCTTTTTTTTTCCCAACAGTAACCAGTTTTCTAGCTTCAATAACTTCTCTTCAGTTATTTTTTCTTAGTCGATCACTCTTGAATGAAAACATTTACTTAAACGCGCGTGCGATATTAAAATTTTAGCGTAGACATTTCAAGGAATTATTTCTAAGTTCAATTTAAGCCTTTTTTTGTTTGTTCGATGTACGGCATAGCCATATTGGGCTATTTGCTGTAGCTATCGCGGAGAATCGAACCCCGGATTTTAGCGTTGTAAGTCATTAAACTTACCACTGTCCCACCAGGGAACTAAGCCTTTTTTAATAAACCATTCTCCTACACAGCAATCTGTATGTATTTTATGTATGTATGATTGCACCATGGGCTATCAGTGCTCAGTCCGCGGCAGGGATCGACCCCACAACTGTACAGCTCTAAGTCCTTAGACTTATCAAACAGTCATTTTATTTCGTCATTGGTGGGGTCATAGATCAGGTCATATTGGTCATTAAACCATACAGACTTTCTCATTATAGAAATGAATAAAAACCCTATAACCCGAGCGCTTTCGAAAGGTTATAGGGGTTTTATTCATTTCTATCAAGACTTCTTGAACCTACGTGTTTTTCTAGCATCATGCAAGTCTTTCTCATTATCATACTGAAAAATGTATATATATATATTGGAATACTTCTAATAACAACTTTGATACAACTGTTTCCTTATATATATTTGCAAGAGCTCCAAACACTAAAACAAAATCTAGTTGACTATTCTTGTTTATGAAAACAAACATCTAATGTGTATTGTCTGTATTTAGCAGTGATAGAAGGTAGCTAGTCAACATTACCCAAAACCAACTCTTGGGCTACTCTTTTGCCAACGCATAATGGGATTGACTGTCACATTATAACGCCCCACGGCTGAAAAGACGAGAATCTTCGGTGACGGGGATTCGAATCCGTGACCCTTAGCTTGCGAGTCGAGCGCCCTAACCACTAGGCCAACATATCTGTGTCAATCTTATCAGTGTAATACACGGTTTTCTGGAAACAGTTTCACCCGCTTGCTCACATTGTTATTTTTAAGCCTTCATGAGTATTACTTAATTGGTTGTAGTTTGAAGTTAATTTGAAGTTAAGCACAAAGCTATACAAGAGGCTATGTGTATCGAGTATCGAAAGCCGGTTTCTAGCGTTGTATGTCCGCAAACATGCCGCCGTGCCAGTGAGGGGCAAGTAAATGTCGATCTGTTTGGTTTAAAATTCGCGCAAAGCTACACCAGGGCTATCTGCACTAGCCATCCCTAATTTAGCAGAGAAAGACTAGAAGGAAGGCAGCTAGTCATTACCGCCCCCCGCCAACTCTTGGGCTACTCTTTTACCAACGAATAGTGGGATGAATTATAATTATAATTGTCCCACGGCTGAAAGGGCGAGCATGTTTGGTTGGACGGGGATTCGAACCCGCGACCCTCAAATTGCAGTCGAGCGCCCTAACCACCTGGCCATGCTCGATCAGCAAGTAAAAGAAGAAGAGATTACCTGTCTGTAACACGATTTATATAAGCACGGATGAATGTCAGTTACATCATCTGTCTGATGAAACCACCTTGCGAGTTACGTAAACGTAATCTTGTTTCATGCAACAACGTGACACGAATAAAAACTGAGTTTTGAGATTTTCATAAAACTTACTGAATATAAAAAAAAGCAATCTCTTACTAAGCA